CCCTTCACTGGCTCCCTGTAGCTCAGAGAACAGACGTTAAAATACTGTTGTTAGTTTATAAATCACTGAACGGTTTAGCACCACAATACATTAAAGATCTGTTATTGCTGTACCAACGTCTAGACCCCTCAGGTTCTGGTTCTGCTCTGCATCCCCAGAACCAGAACCAAACGAGGAGAAGCAGCATTCAGTTTCTATGCACCACAGATTTGGAACAAACTTCCAGAAAACTGTAAAACAGCTAAAACACTGAGAGCCTTTAAATCTCAACTTAAAACCCATCTGGTTAGAGCTGCTTATGGCTAAGTTAGTATTAGAGTGTGGGTTTTGATGTCTTGATGTCTTCGATGTTTTTATCTTTAGTTTTTATCTATTTATTAATTTCTTTTTATTTCTCTTTCTCACTGTTTACGTTTTAATGATATAAAGCCCCCCGGAAAACGTCCCAGTTAAACAATGTTTAACTGAAATCCTAAAAGGGGTTTTAATGTTTTTATCTTTTTAAATCTTTTTCAAAATCCCTTTCTCTTTCTCACTGTTTATTCAATGTCACATGCTGTTTTTATTTTAATTATGTAAAGCACCTTGAAATACCTTGCTGCTGAAATGTGCTATACAAATCAAATCTGATTGATTGAATGCAGACCCTTCTTCACGGAAGCCATCACTGATCCCAACAAACTCAGTCTTCACATCCCTGTTGGTATTCCAGTTTTAAATAAGATTTTAGGTTTTATTGTTCATTTACTGCAAGTAGTTTGTCTTTTTAAAGTACAAATACACTAATTTGTAAATTTAAAAAAAAGTGCTTTCTCCTCAGTTGTATCAGATTTATTCTTAATCTTTTTAAATTTACTTTTAACGCTTTTTCATCTTTTGTGTGAATCTGCATGTCATTTGAATTTTCCCGATGTGGCACCATAAAGGATAATTCTAGTCTATTCTAAGAAATGTTTTGCCTTAATAAAACAATAGCATTCAGATTGAACATTTTTCTGGGTTAAATTGAAGAAAATTTGTTTGAAAAATTTATCCATTTTCAGGATTTGGGTTACACTCTTTTTAACTAAGCTTAATAAATGAATTAAAAGCAGATTTCAGTCTCTTTTTGAAACAAATACTTTGTTCTACACAACATTTTCCACACACACACAAAGAAAAGTAATTTGTCACATAGTATTTTTTTTCCTGGAATTAAAAAATATCCGCCCATGGACTACAAAGGGCCCCCGAGCCACACTTTGGACACCGTTGCTTTAATAGGTCAAATAGTAATTTGAAACTGCTTCTGCATTTAATCAGGTTGTTTGTCTAATATTAATATTTAGTTGATTACCTGATTGTATTTGGGTGTAACCAAAAACTACTTATTTTACCACTGTTGGATTAGCTGAGCTGAAAACGAATAAAAACCGCACAAAAACGAAATTCTGGTTACTTCATAGGAAAATATAGAGAAATTACTTCAGGAATCTTATTTAACACCAAGGATTTAAGCAATACTATCTTTCAGCGTAAAAATCGCGAGACGTGCTACACCATCTCTAGCTCGTTCTGTCGGTAATTTAGCTTAAAGACAAGCCCACTAAACTCGTAAACGAACCGAACAACGCCAAAACTCACCGAGCCGCTGTCCGAGCCGCTTCCACCATATATAATCTCCCACAACAGGCACGAGCTACAAGAGAAACAACCTGGTTCCCGCCCCCAATGCTGTCTGCTGATTGGTGAGCGTCAATGAGAGGGCGGGTTCAAATAGAATTTAGGAGACTATTCTACCCTAAATTCAACCTGAAGGCTAAACTTTAGCTTTACTATTCAAAAATATCTTCTCAATCTTTAAAAATATAAAATGAATTAGATGTTTTTCAGACGACTGGTTTAAATAAATTCTATTTAAATAAAATCACGCTGATGTTTGTTGTGTAATTGCTATGGGCGGACCGAACCGAAGTGGTTTATATTTGGACTCGTTTCACCGCGACACCTACTTCCGGTCGGTGCAGTCTAGCCATAACAACAAGGAGGATACACCAATTCTCGCCATAGTGATTTTTTAAATAACGAAAACATCTACTGCTCGCTGCTACATGTAAGTTGACAGATCAATCTTTATGTTGTTACATTTTGCAGATACTAATTTCTCTATTTATGTCGAAATCAACTTGTTTTGGAAACAATGGTGAATAATGGGCCTGGCTATGTAGTGAAAACAAAAGAAATGAAAGGTCTAAGGGACAAAGGAAAAAAAAAAATATTAAGACAGGTTATATAACCCGACATGGGATGAATATGGTATTTAATAAGCTCGAAATTGCTTAGGTTTAAATTTTGTATTTTAAACGGCGGTGCAGTGATATACAGCCACGAATCTGTCCAACAAACAGACGTATCCAGAATCATGAGCTTGTTTACACAATTTAATTCAAATTATTTTCTGTTCAGAAACGCAGGAAAAGCTTTGCTGATTGACATGCTCGCAGATCAGTAGCGGCTAATGAAACTCACTGCAGTGGCGAATAACTAGTTAAGGTCTTCTTATGCAGAAACAAATATTACAACCCAAAGTTATGATGGTACAATTTGTAGGCAATTGTTCTTTTAAAATCAGAATAATTTAAATATGAAGCTTCAACTGTTTTGTTTTTTGTCTTTAATCCGTACTGGCAGCTGAAAGTGTGTCAGAGTTCAAAGTTCAGCTACATTACACAACATGTTTTTAGCTTTTCTTTCTGCAAAGATGAAGAGTAAAGTACAGCTGTAGCAGCTCACTGGGTTAATTATTATTATTATAGTTTTTCTATCCAAGTTGGTAGATTAAGAGAAGATAATCCTTTAAACGTCTGGAAGGCTATAAGACAAGATTTAAAATGCTAATCAAATAGCATTTTGAATGGAAGTAAATACTACAGAACAAATGTTGTAGCTTAGAAGGGGAATAAAAGAGTAGAAGAAGGAAAAATTTAAAATTAAAGTTTTCCCAAAAGTCCAGAACTTTATTCCATTTGGATCAACTAAGCTGAAGTGCAAAACTAAATATAATAAAAATCACCAGATAAAACTAAAACATGCTAAATCTTAGCTGCATGATGTCAGAGTAAATAAAAAATACAACAAATAAAACTGAAAGCTTGTTCTAATGTTCATTTAGGAAAACAAACATCAGATGATTTTCCAACATGTCTGTTTTCTCTGCATTGTTTTTTTATTTTCCCTTTTATTTGCTGCTCGGTGTTTTCCCAGACTGACTTGTCTCCTCTTCCTTCCTTCTGCACTTGTAAACAAATCATCACTTCCTGTTGTAACTGTCAGATGTGTTCGTGTGCGACTCGTTCCTTCGTCCTCAGCTTTAAATATTTTATGTTGCTTTTACACTGCAGCTTAACATATTCTTTACATTCCTATCATTTTAAAGAACCATCATTTTATTTCTACAAAATGACCAGAACTGACATGCCTCATTTAAAACCTCTGAAATGCAATCAACTCACTGAGTGATTGTTTCCAGAGTTATTAGTGGCCGTTTCAGGCATTTAGAGGAGACTGGATGGTTCCTGAAGGAGTTTGTTTCTGTCAGGATGAACGTGGGTGTGGCACACAGTGAGGTGAACCCAAACACCCGCGTGATGAACAGCCGAGGCATCTGGCTGACCTACGCCCTGGGGGTTGGCGTTCTGCACATCGTGCTGCTCAGCATCCCCTTCTTCAGCGTCCCGGTGGTCTGGACGCTCACCAACGTCATACACAACCTGGTGAGCGCCGCCGAAAACAAGATTTTAATCTTTGATGCAAATTGTTTACAATTTTTGTAGTTTTGCTTCATTCCTTCTCTGACTGTGTTGTTCTTTCTGAAATGATTTTTTTTAGAGTCTCTATACTCCAGTTAACAATTAATCAAATTAGATGATTACTGCAATAGCCAATTCATCAGATTAATAATTCAGACCCAAAAAAGCAACATACTATTCACAATCAGTGAGTCTGCTGTATAAATAGCAGGGGTGTTGAATGAAAAAAGAAAATCTAGAAAAACAGCGGGCATGTTAACACTGTTAGTTGGTAGTGGCAGTGTGATGATCTGGGGTTGCCTTACTGCTTTATGGATCCTGAAGGAGAATATAATTTTCATGCTGGTTTAGCTGTTTTTGCTCCTGAATTAAAAATGTTTTTTTGTTGTTGTTTTTAATTCAGTTCAACTTTGATACAAAAATGATGTGAAATTTTCAGCAGGAAAATGCTTCCTCATCCAGTCCTCCTCATGGTTTGTGTTGCTGTGCAGGGCATGTACGTGTTCATGCATGCGGTGAAAGGAACGCCCTTCGAGACGCCCGACCAAGGAAAAGCCCGGCTTCTGACCCACTGGGAGCAGCTGGACTACGGCGTGCAGTTCACCTCCTCCAGAAAGTTCTTCACCATTTCCCCCATCATCCTGTAAGTACAGATGCAGCGGCTACCAGCTAGCTAGCTGCTAATGTGATGCTAGCAGCAGCTGTAGCAGGTGTAATGGCGCTCATATTTTTGTCTCATCTTTTCCAGATATTTCCTGGCCAGTTTCTACACAAAGTATGACACGACGCACTTTGTCATCAACACAGCGTCCCTGCTGAGCGTCCTGATCCCCAAGCTGCCCCAGCTGCACGGCGTCCGGATTTTAGGCATAAACAAGTATTAATAACAGGAGAAGCTCCGCCTCCCTGTGTGTGTACTGCCGGTTCGTGTACTAAATCATCCAGTCAGTGTGTTGGGTTAGCACTAACAGGAACCAGATCATCGGACATGATGTGCATCAGTAACTTATGTATTTAATTGTGTATTCGGGCCTGCATGGACCTGGGCTGGCCCAGGCCGCGGTCGGGTTCTAGGTTGACTTTAATTTACTTTTCTCTGCCCCGTCGACCACACAGTGAAGCGTGTTGAGTGCTGAAGCCACTCAGATGCCCTGAAGTATTTCGTTTTGTTTACCTTTGGAGGCTGTCGCCCTCCGATTGTCGGTACTGTCTTGGTTTCATTTCATTAAGTAGCAGAACCGCTCTCCATCTGCATGGCTCCCCTAATCGGACCGGAGCGGCTCGTCTTGTTTTACAGTGTTTGTGGACCCGTGTCCTGTGTAAAGGTATGATTGGTTATCCGTTTACTGAGGGAGGTTTACTGTGTGGGAAACGCTACGTTCACCCAGCTGCTGTCTGGAGACCCGGGCCGCCAGTTCTGATCGGTTCCTCCAGAGCTGGATGTGATTTTTTTCCTGCTCCTAATCTTTAATAAAATGTTTGTGCCCTCAGCTCCTCGCCTCAGTTTGTGATCATCAACACCATTTTAAGGTTTTTGTAGAAGCCTAAATTCAGTTTTAGTTCATTCAGACCTTTAGGATAAATTGTTTAAATTTCTTATGATTTGTTTATTAGGATAAAAATGATTACTAGTTAAATCTCTCTTGCATACCAATTTGTTATATTGGACTATACTAAATTCTTCTTGTAAATTTGCATATGTAATTGGAGTTAAGGACTTTAGGGTGTGGCTGGAGAGTGAGTTGGGTAGTTGGAGTGGAGCCACAGTTCAGACCTCTCTCTTGCTTAAGACTCGTGTACTTTTTTTTTCACTGAATATTTGTGTACTCTTGTTTTTCTAAAGTTATATTTAAGATGTTTTAGAACTTCATAAAATTCAAATGACCATACAACCAATGTTAAAGGGTGCACTTACTTTTGGCCATATTTGTGTTTGGTCTTTAAACTTGACTCCTGTAGCTTTTTATATGATGCCTAAATATTCTGAAATCAAAATGGCGTCCAGACTGGACCTAAACGGGATCAAAAGATTAAAACTTTATTCAAAATAAGAAACATCTTGTAGAAAATAAAATCCTTTCTTCTGAAGTTTCTTCAGAAGCATTGAAACGTCCGCATGCTGTTGTCAAGTCATACACGCCCCCTGGTGGTCAGGTTCTGACACTGCGTCTCCAGTATGCTAACCAAGAAGCGGTGGTTCAGGTGTTTTACGCCCCCTGCTGGACAGATCCTCACACTGCCTCTTCAGGACCCCCCTGTACACCTGGAAGCGGTGGTTCAGGTCTTTCTGCGTGTGGATCTTGAATCTTGTCCCTAGAGCTCCGTCAGCAGCGGCGGCGCCGTAGAAAACCCGGCCGATGCGCGAGTGCACCAGCGCCATGGCGCACATGACGCAGGGCTCCCTGGTGACGTATAGGTCGTACCCGCTGCAGATGTACGGCACAGCGCCCCCCTCTGGTTGGGGGTCTGTAGGGGCGAAGCGGCAGGCGGCGTACCTGTCGTGGCGGTAGCAGCCGCCTCCCTGGCTCCGCGCCACCAGGTCGATGCAGACCATGACGGCGTGCTGCAGCGGGTGCTCGCCTCGCCGGTCGTGGCCGACGGTGACGACCCGCTGCGTCTCGGGGTCGACCACCGCCGCCCCCACCGCCTCCATCCCCAGCTGCGCCGCAGCTCTCGCGGCGGCCACGGCGGACGCCATGAAGGTGTGCATCAGGGCTCTCTGTTGGGGGCCGAACAGTTCCCCTCGCAGCGCCACCGTCACCTGCTTGTCTTCATGGAAGGTCGTGGGCCAGCGGCGGCTCGCCAGCTCGAACTGCGGCCGGGTCAGCGGGGGTCGCGCTGGGACCTTCACCACAAACGGCTCGCCCAGCCCCTCCCAGCTGCCTGCGGGCAGCAGAGACGGAATGCTGGCGTCCGCCGGATTCGGCACGTCGCTCAGCAGGCACAGCAGGACCTCCAGAGGGTGGGGACTGTCCTCGGCCCGGCAGGCCCGGACCCGCTTCACGTGCTGCAGGCCAGTCAGCGGGTAGACGCCGTTCAGCTCCCTGACGAGCCGAGACGTCGCCTTCCTGTTGACGATGGGCGCGGCGAACGCCTCCACCAGCTCCACGTCTGCTGACTGTTCGTCTGACAGGACAGGGAAGGCCACCCAGGAATCGTCATCGCACTTTGACCCTTTCCACCGCTTCGTCTCAGGCTCCATAATTGCCCTGCCAGGACCCAGAGAGAACATGATGATCAGCAGTTAAACCATCATTTATCCAACATGCTGATGAACTTCTGATCACGCCAACGGGACCTGGTCCATCAAGAGCCTCTCTCATTTCACCTGTAAAACCTAAGACTCTGTCTTTGGGTGTTTCTCAGCCCAGTTTAGACGCTTCAGTTGCTTAGTGGTGGTCAGGTTTCAACCCTCCTTACCTAGAAGGAGGGTAGGTAAGATCTGAACATCTGGTACTTCCAGGTACTCCAGGTAGTTTGTAACTTACTTAATGTGTATAGCTAATATTTACTGAAAATTCTTTGTGTGAGGGCTGGTATAAGACATTTATTAGAGACTGATTGCTATTGTTTGCTAGCTAGCTTTGCTAACATAGCTTCCCTTTTGCATTGTCAAATCCTTTGTATGCTTTCTTCTGGTTGTTTCATAAATACATTATTTGAATTCATCCATACATTTTCTTCCTCTCATCCGGGGTCGGGTCGTGGGGGCAGCAGCCTCAGAAGGGAGGCCCAGACTTCCCTCTCCCCAGCCACTTCTTCCAGCTCCTCCGGGGGAACCCCAAGGCGTTCCCAGGCCAGCCGAGAAACACAGTCCCTCCAGCGTGTCCTGGGTCTTCCCCTCCTCCCAGTGAAACGTGAACTCCTCACCAGGGAGGCGTCCAGGAGGCATCCTGACCAGATGCCCGAGCCTCAACTGGCTCCTCTCGAAGTGGAGGAGCAGTGGCTCTACTCTCAGTCCCTCCCGGATGACCGAGCTTCTCTCTCTAAGGGAGAGCCCAGCCACCCTGCGGAGGAAGCCCATTTCGGCCGCTTGTATCCGGGACCTCGTTCTTTCGGTCATGACCCAAAGCTCATGACCATAGATGAGGGTGGGAACGTAGATCGACCGGTAAATCGAGAGCTTTGGTTTTTGACTCAGCTCTCTCTTCACCACGACGGACCGGTACAGCGCCCGTTTCACGGCAGTCACTGCCCCAATCCGCCTGTCGATCTCCCGCTCCCTTTTTTCTTCATTCGTGAACAAGATCCCCAGATACTTAAACTCCTCCACTTGAGGTCCCTGACCCGGAGAAGGCACTCTACCCTTTCCCGGCTCAAGACCATGGCCTCGGATTTGGAGGCACTGAGCCTCATCCCGGCCGCTTCACACTCGGCTGCAAACCGCTCCAGCGAGAGCCGCAGATCACGGCCTGATGAAGCCAACAGGACCACATCATCCGCAAAAAGCAGAGATGCGATCCTAAGGCCACCAAAACGGATCCCCTCAACGCCTTGCCTGGTCTAGAGATTCTGTCCATGAAAGTACTGAACAGAATCGGTGACAAAGGGCAGCCTTGGCGGAGTCCAACTCTCACCGGAAACGAATTATGTAGTAAAATTCATTTTACTGAAGATTTTATAGACATCTTGTCCCGCTCAGCCAGGCACAGCTCACTTTGACAGCAGAAACAAAAATACATAATGATTCTCACGCCATTGCTTGGATTTTTATGGTTTATATTCAATAAAAGGAAGCACGTTAACCAGCAACCAGGTCGTTGGGAGGGTCTTCAACCCTGAACCTTCAGCCTCCACCTTCTTCATGAATAAGAAACATTTTATCTGATCGAACTCAACATAATCCGGTTACAATAAATCTCTCAATGTGCAGAGTTTAGAAAATTATTTATTTTGGTTATTACAAAAAGAAAAAAGTTCCAGCAAAATAAATGAGTTTTTAAGGCTGTTCCATTTATGACAGCAAATATGTAACATTTAAGATGTTGACATATTTTCAGATGATACAAATAATTTGTCACCAGAAATTTATCACCATGATTATCCATGTTGGTACGCTTCTACTGAGTTAATTTTTTTTAGTTAGTACATTAGCTTTATTGCTAACTTTGAAAACATTTAGCTTCCTCTAACTTAATTTTCTGCATAAATTTTGAAGCACAAAGTGCAAGAAATTATATTTTTCTTGTACCCTGAATGCATCGCTGTCTGTGCGCTTTCTGAATTAGCCAAAATGCTCAACTACTAATGCACTTTAGCATTAGCTTCCATTAAACACCATGTTGGAATAAATAGCGTCTTAGCATGAGCCTTTGCTATATACTATATTGGTAGAACAGATTAGTGTTAATTTCTGCTAAATACCATGTTGGTATTAGGGCTGTGTAATATCGATTTTGCGATATATATCGATATTTTCTTTCCTAGAAAAAAAATCAATATTCATCCGCAAGTATCGTAACATCCAACTGTCACCTTGCTCACTCACTGCTTGCTTCGCCGGGAGAGTGATTAGGTCATCAGGTTTAGAGTGATTCCTTCAGATGTTAAGTGTCAAGGTTAAAAGGTGTCAAACTATTCAGAGCAGGGTACTTGGTGCACTTTATTTACTTTACAAATGCATGTAAGCTACAGTTTGTACTGTTTCAATTAAAAGAAACATGTCTTCTCAACACTTCTTTGATTCATTTTGTCTAGCTGTTGACTTTAAGTCTGTGTCCATGTCCAACCAGAGCCAGGTATTATTTAGTTGGTGCTTTTAATCAGTTTTCAGTTAAATTAATTCAATCCAACAGTCACAAAATGTCACCAAAATCACTCTGTCCCTCTAAAATCTTTCAGAAAATTGCAAAAGTGTATTGAATTGTATTGTTTGCTGAATATCGCAATATATATGGTATCGTGAGCAGAATATCGTGTATCGTATCGTGAGATTATTGTATCAGCGTCACTGATGTTTATGATTAGCACTTTAGGCTCAGAGGAACAAACTTTTCAGTTAGCGATGCCCATCATTGAGTTTTATTAATATTTGAATAGATAATTTTTTTAAAAATCACATAGGAATGTTGTTCCTGCAGTAATAGTAATAATAATTCAGACCACAGCATTCATCATGAGACTCTTCCAGCTGTGGTTCTGGCTTGGTTCTGATCTGGTCGGGTCATTTCCTTCCCAGAACCATCCTGGTTCTGATCACTTTGGGAACGTGTCTGATGGTGAGCGACACCCTGGTTCCCCTGCTCAGCGTCTCCCCGGGCCGCGCCCCGGCAGCAGACAGGTTGGCCACCCGGTCCGTCAGCGGGTCCCGGTCCCGGTTCTGGATGCCGTGCAGCAGCTGACGGTACATGTCGTCCTGCAGGATCAGCAGGCTGCGCGGCCTCAGCAGGAGGGACAGCAGGTAGCGGCTCTGCTGGGTCTGCGGCCCGTCCTGGCTGCAGACGGGCCGGTAGAAGTCCAGAAGGGTGTGTGAGCCCAGGTTGATGGTGCTGACCGTGGGGTGGTACAGCGGGCCGTCCTCGTGGGCCATGATGCCTTCGCCCGGCTTGTACTCGTTCACCAACACGTGGTTGGCCATTTTCCCACCGAACACTCCGAGAGACGAGACTTTCTCACAGCAGCTCTGGAGCCAGTCAGGAAGCGTCTCGGTCAGCATGCCTTTGGGGTGCGGCAGGCCGCCCCAGTTCTGGAGCCGGCGGCTGGACAGCTGGGTCCATTTGGTTTTGGGGGACTTGTACACCTGCTGCAGGAGGAAGGACTCCTCTTCCTCTGATATGAAATCTGGGATGTAAAACGCAGTTTGTGGAGCTTCATTGACAACAAACTGCTTCAAATCTCCCACAACACAAGATGGCCGCTCCATGTCTCCTTAAGAGAAGTTCACATGAAATCCTAATTAAAACACGTTCAGAACGAGTCAGACCAAAATGTGAATGAAAACCGCCATTAGAGACGAGTCAGCCAAAGTGTTGGGTTTTAACATGTTAGGTTTTCAGGTTAAACATGGAAGCCTTCATTCAGTCCTCACTCAAACCAAATCATGTCTTCATAATCCAACATGTGCAGGTTGTTGTCTTCAAACAAATCTCTCTTTTCGTCTCATTTTCATTTCAATTTCTCTCAACAAGTGACCAAAACAATTGATGACATCATTATGGACATGATGGATCGTCAAGGAACAACAACAACCCATACACTGAGCTGGACAGAGGGGTCCACATGTACTAAATACCACAGTACTGACCTTCATGCCCTGTTCAATAACTTTAATGACCCTAATATTGACCTCAATGACCCTATCAGTGGTTATATCCTCCTGACTACCAGTAGTTCATTTTTGTCCTCTGTAGAGGACATTTCTAAACTTGAATGTCTCCCACCCCCTGCATTCTACTGAATTCATTCCTTTTGGTATCTGGAGAGGACATTTAGGGCTTTTCAACGATACCACATAAGAAGTGGTGGGACTTTTGTTCGTATCTTTTTTCTAATACATAAAAATTGCGTTAATCAGTAATAACACATCTTATGGGAAGAGACAAAGAAAGTGCATAAAACCTTTTATTACCTTACAAAGAATGTGGGATTTAAAAAGAATGGTGATTGGACAATATTTTTTGTCCTGGTAGTCTGGAGGTCAATGACCTTTTTAACAACCTGTTGGTGAACCTCTGAAGGGAAAGCAGGAATGGTGTGGTATAGGTCGGTTTCTAAGATGGCTCAATGAGACTGATGGGTACCAAACTGCACCAATCGGTGCCATGTAGCTCAGTGGAAAGAAGGCGGCGGTGACCTTAGCGGCTCTGCTGATGTGACTGTTCTGGTCTCAACTCCTAATAATGTTAATTCTGTTCAGGACTGAAGAAACCATTTAGATGAGACATTAGTCTTCAGGAGACGAGAGAAGAAGTCCAGTTTCCTTCTTCAGAAGTATTTAAGATTGTTATGTTGTGAATTACAGAGTTGGAACCAACATATCAGGAGGTCTGTTATATGAAGTTTAACCTTTGACCCTTCCTATGACCTCTACAAAATGCAATAAAAATACGGAAATTTGTAGCTAGTTAACACGCACACTGGCCACTTTCTTGAGATTTTTTTTTTTTTTAATCAGGCTTTTGGAAACTTTTACGTCATACGTCACTGATCCTTACGCAGGGTGAGTTGTTATTACATTTCACTGATTTGACTGTAAAGTGTTTAAATTCAAGTTCAGTAAATATAATTCCTATATGCTCATAAATCCTCAGAAAAAATATTTTAAAGACCAGACGACTTTTAAAAATGTAACACATATTTACCAAACGGAAACGGATCGTTTTTACACGTTTTTAACCGGTAATAGTATTAATATAACATCTACATCCACGTTAGATTAATATTTATACATTTAAAAACACGAATAAAGAGAAAAGTTGGACTAACCTGCACAGTACTCGATAAAAAAAATACAGTTTATATCCAAAGAGCCAAACTGGTGCTCTCCATCTGTGTGTAACCACATAAAGTGTCCGGTGGGAAACGCTGGTGGATACATTTCCGACAGGGCTACTCCGTATTTTCTCGCGTTGTTTTAATAGTTTAATGGTGAAGCGGTAGGTTTCTAAACTTTTCCAGCTCACAGAGGGAACATGGCGTTTCCAACCATGATCCAGTCGAAGATTAGAATCCTGCTGAGGCTGCTGTGGTGCAAACAGACGGCAGGAAGCAAGGCATTCCGTTCCAGGCTGGTTTTAGGCATCGAGACGAGCTGCGATGAGACTGGAGCTGCTGTGATGGACGAAACTGGAGCCGTACTGGGAGAATCCCTGCATTCCCAGAAGGAGGTTCATCTGAGGTGAGGGTCAGATATCAGAGGTTCTGTTTCAATGTTCAGTTCGTTTATATTTAAATTCTTATTGTGTAAAACAATCTGGTCCTAGCAAACAGTAAAAGTTTTGCATATGTGTCAGTCTGCTGACCTGCAGCTCACAGGTTGTGTTTGTCAAAGCGAAAAGGCATCAGCGATGACCTCAGAGGCAGCTGTCCCTCAAACTGGAGAGGGTCAAAGGTCATCTCCACACCTCCTGAAGTCCTTCATTCTCCATTTCTCTGCCTCTCATAACTCATTCTAAGGCAGAGGTGGGCCAAAAAATAATACTAAAAAAAAATGAAACCCCAAAGTATTTTTTAAATTAACCTGGTCAATAAAAAAACTAACTGTGCAATATTTTAATTAGACAAATAATGCAGGCACATTTTCTCTTTGTAGGAAAATAATGTGTAAATTATTTGGAAGCATTTTTATTAGAAGAAGTCTGTAAATTCTTAAGGATTAAGTTTATTTTCAGGATTTGAGTCGCTCTTTGTTTAAAAATAATAATAAAAAACCTTTGCTGTATTTACTAGGGTTAAATTAATAAAAGCATATTTCAGAATGTTTTTGATATTTTGGTTATTAAAAGACAAATACTTTGTGTTCTACATAGCAGTTTCCACTAGAAGATTTTAATTTGTTACTTTATATTTTTGCCTGGTTAATAAAAGTAAAAAGTCTCAAAATTTATATTAGAGTCCGCAAAAAATTCAGTCCCCATGTCGCAAATGGCCCCAAGACCACATTTTGGTCAAATCATCATTCGAGACCGTTTCTGTGTTTATTCACGTTGTTTGACTATTCAACTACATATATCATGTTTATATATTCATACTTAGTTTTTCTTTAGTTTGCACTATTTGCTGTTATCTCAAACTTTTAGTTTTCTCAGTTATTTTTTCTCTCCAGAAGCTCCACCTGGTCTGACGCTCTGGTCTGATTGGCTGAGATAGAAACTTTTTAAAATAATATGAATAATAAATGTAACTTAATGCTCTGATTGAGAGGAGCAATAGATTTAATCGAAATGATTTTTTTGGGTGTAAAGTGACTCGAAATGATATTTGTTGTTAATGGGTGCTTTAAAAATAAACTGATTAAATCTACAACAAAAATTATTGGAAAAGAAAAGAATCCATGTGCTGAAGTGGCCTAGTCAAAGTGCAAATCTGAACAGAGACAGTGGACCATGTGTTTGGTTGCTGCAGGACAGGCGGCATCATCCCGACCGTAGCTCAGGCTCTGCACAGAGGAAACATCGAGCGCGTGGTGCAGGAGGCTCTGGACCGGAGCGGCGTGGCGCCGGCCCAGCTGGCTGCTGTGGCTGCCACCGTGAAGCCCGGCCTGGCTCTGAGTCTGGCCGTGGGCCTGAGCTTCAGCCAGCGCTTCGTGAGACACCACAACAAGCCGTTCATCCCTGTCCACCACATGGAGGCCCACGCCCTGACCGTCAGGATGCTGCAGCCGCTGCACTTCCCCTTCCTGGTGCTACTGGTGTCCGGAGGCCACGCCCTGCTGGCCGTGGCGCGGGGCGTCGACGACTTCCTGCTGCTGGGCCGAACTCTGGACGAAGCTCCAGGAGACACGCTGGACAAGGTGCAGATGGCAGTTACCTGGGAAAGTAACTTACTCTGCTGATTACTTGATTTCAAAAGTACGACGGCGTATCAGATCCACTTTAGATGGGAATCAGTACCCTCCAAAAAATAATTTCAGAAACTTTCTGGGGGAGAAAAGGAAATTTCAGAGTGATAAAAAAAAATTGCTAGACACAATCAGAAATGTTGAGATTATCGGAATTTTTCTAAAAAAAACAAACAAAAAAAAGGATATTTCTGAGTTTTGAAAGTTTTTTTTTTTTTTAGAAAATTTTAGAAATCTCAAAATTTCTGTTTCTTATCTGTATGAATGTTTGTATTTCGCTTTTGTTTTATGGGATTTATGGATGGAAATGAGCATTTATCTAAATCCAACAACACTGTACGTTCATTAACATGCACTGGTCAGATTAGGTGTCGTGGTTCTGTTGTGGTTCTGAACCGACGTCAGCTGTTTGACCCTACAGGTGGCGCGCCGTCTGTCCCTGAGGAAACTGCCGCGCTGCGCCGCGCTGAGCGGCGGCCAGGCCATCGAGCTGCTGGCGCAGGACGGCGACAGGAAGAGGTTCTGCTTCAGGACGCCGATGGGACAAACGCCCGACTGCTGCTTCTCCTTCGCCGGGCTGCGGAACCAGGTCACCTTGCTGATCCAGAAGCAGGAAGCCGAGGAAGGTAGGACGGTTCTGGACTTCCTGTGCAGCTTTAGCCTTCCTGACCACAGCGATCCATTTCCAGGCGTAGAGGAAGGAACGGTGCTGTCGTGTGTGAACGACATCGCTGCCGCCACGCAGCACACTGTGGCCTCACACCTGGCGAAGAGGACGCACCGGGCCGTCCTGTTCTGCAGAACCAACCATCTGCTGCCGTCACAAAACCCGACGCTGGTGAGAAACCATCCACTGGGTCCGATCCAATCCAATCCGTTTGTTTTTATTTCATCACATTCAGTTCAGTTAGCTGCCAACCAGAGCATCGAGTTAATCAGTTTAAAAAGTTTCTGAGGAAACCAGCTGAGCATTGAGTCGTTGACACGCAGCAATCACTCCTCCTGACCAGCAGGGGGCAACGGCAGAGAGAGAAACTTCCGTTTGACAGGAAGAAACCTCCAGCAGAACCAGAACTAGAACCGGCTCAGTCCAGCAGCCATTTGCCACTTTGTCAATATCTGCGTTCCATTCACAGTAAAATTATGCAGATCGGAATAAAGAAAATAAATTAGCTTAATTGAAACAAGATTATTTCAGAAAAACTCGTTTTTCAACAGAGTTTTTGCTCTAAGATGAGATGTTTTTTCATCTGTACCAAAATTCACAAAACTACCATAGAAACATTTGTCACATCACACAAGTCACATGTTCAACAACAGAATGTTGCTGCTGGCAGAAGCGACGAAGAAGACGACAGGAAGTGGTGTAAGGATGAAGAGTCTTGAAATTCTCTGCAGGCAAATATTTTATCTGCTGGGGAAGAAAACTGTAACTTCAGAATCAGTATCGGTTATTTAAAAATTAAAAAAGAAAGCTGCAGTGTTTCCATAGCAACCCAGCATATCCATACTTTTAGATTTGACACAGAGGTTTTTCCAGGTGTTGTCTGGAGGTGTTGCCAGCAACCAGTACATCCGTAAAGCTCTGGCGGTCGTCGCCGAGGCAACTGGGTTGCAGCTGCTCTGCCCTCCGTCTCGGTTCTGTACCGACAACGGAGCGATGGTCGCCTGGTGAGTTCTGGTGACCCGGCTGCGGTTGGAAACGGGTCCGGTTCACCTGAGGCGTTTGGTTTCCTCCCCGCAGGAACGGAGTGGAGCGTCTGAGGGAAGGAATCGGGATCTTGGCGCCGGAGGTGGAGGTCAGCTACGAGCCCAGGTCAGTTCCTAACGGGTCAGAACCAGTTCACGTTCTGCTCAGGGCTTCACTTCCTCTCATTCATATTTTAAAGAAAAGACTGTTTACTGTAGATTTTTGGATCATAAAATAACCAGTACATTCTACCGTACTGACCCGGTTCCTGGTGTTAGCGGATCAAACCCTCAGACTGACATGAGCTGCAGGTTCTGACCCGTTCTGCTGGTTCTGCTGCAGAGCTCCGCTGGGCGTGGACATCACAGCCGAGGTGAGGGCCGCCGCCATCAGGCTGCCGTCCATCCGGATCAAGATCCCAGACTGACCGGCAGAGCTCCCTCTGTCCAAACTGTGCAAATATGAGATGTTTATTTATGAATAAAGTATTTTAATATGAAGTTTTATGACTTATTTAAAGGAATCTGATCATAAAGGAATAACTATGAGGTGTGAAGCTTCAGGATCACCAACATTTAATGAGGCGCCGTTTGTAACGTTACATAATCAAAATTGACAGTAATTATTTGGGTTATTTATAACAAAAAAAGGCCTTCATTTTTTTAGTGACATTTTCACTGTTATCAATTTATAAACGTCACAGTTTCAAAGTAGAAATTTAGCTTAACTGAATATTTAGCTGTAAACTAATTGTATAAACTAAACCCAATTAGTCTACAGGATTTAAAGTAAACTAAACTAAACCCTGTAAACTAATTGCGAAATATTTCAAGCTAGTATTCAATTTCGCTTGTCGATAACCGGAAGTTGAGTACCAAAATAAAAACTCAGTCTGGTGAAGCTCTGAACTCCTGCTGGCGCGACTGGCGCGTCTTTTGTTTCGTTTTTTTTCTCAACGTGTGAACATTTCAGCTGTAAACAGTCGTTTCGATATTACAGAAGTTTTACCGATGGGTCTATAGGGTTAGACCCATCTGCTAACCAGCAGGAGTTCATACAAGTTCGCAAGATCCAGCTTTTGTGAACTTCCGGTTATCAGCTGGCGAATTTGAGTACCATAAGTTAAATATTCTGTAAACTTCTGAATTTAAAGCAACAATTCCCTCATTCTGGTATTCGGCTACTAATCTCTTAACTAAGCTGTAATAGGAAAACATTTTTTGTAGAGTGTGACTATTTCTGGTTTTACTCGTAAAAAGACACAGAAATTAATGTGAGTTTTATTCTAATCAAATCAAAACACACGTATTATTTGTTCCACGTTTTTATTTTATAAATTCAGCCTCAGAAGTGGTTTCAAATAAAAAGTTCTACCTGTGGCTCGTCCGCCTGGCAGTTATGTGACCTGTGCACCCTCGTGGTTAGTCCGGGTA